CTTGTTAGAAAACATTTACTTAGAAAAATGGATTTAACTCGGTTTTAATTGATTTTTTTATAGGAAAGTTTAATTTGTGTTGAGTTAAATTAGGTAAAAAAAAAATTACATTGTGAGTAAATATTCGTGCAATATGCTTATTTTCTTCAAATTGATTTTAGTGAGACAAGACAAAATTGTTAGGTCATCTCCAACCCTTATCTCTACTCTAACACAGACTTTACGATACTGTAGATTAAGTGAAACATTCGTCCCTTATCTCTACATTTTACTCTACATCAAATATATTATTTCTTTAGTCATTATCATTTCAAATAAATTGGTATATATATGTATATTTAATCTTATATAAATATTTATTACCCAAATAATAAAATTATATTTTATTGATTTTTATTTTAAATGAATTGGTATATATGTATATATATGTATATTTAATTTTATATAATATGTTTATTACACAAGTAATAAAACTATTTTATTTATTTTTATTTTAAATAAATTGGTATNACTGGTGCAATTGCTACAATGCTGCGCTAGAACTAGCACAACATTGTTCATATATCTGATGTAAAGATAAAATCCAACGCAGTCTTGGAGAAGATTTTTCACGCTACTCCAACGTTTTGCTCCATTCTAGAGCAGCGATGGAGTTGGTCTTAAAGTTATTCATTTTTTATTTTTTTTTCAAACTTAAAGTTAGTCATTTAGTAGGCGTTAAAAGTTGGTTGTGAGTCTTGTGACATTCTAAAAGTCATAAAGGTTATATATAACTCTTTTTATCCACATACATTTATATAAACATAACATTAAAATACAAAATGGGAAGAACCAACAATTAATTATTCGAAATAGATCCAATCTCGTTTCCTTTGAAGATTATATAACCAACAAACTATGGCTTACAAAATTACAATATCAAGTTTTCCTTCAAACTGACGGGATCATGATGCAATGGATTCCGTTAAATTCACTATTCGGATAAGTTGAAATCCAATGTTGCAGTTTCAAAACAAATAAATATAGAGCATCTGTAACCGATCAGAAAATGCATATAGAAACGCAAATACGAAGGAATCTTTCCTCCTACCGATCTGAAAACACAAACAAAAATTGCGTATTTTGTATGTTTATCTCTTCGACAAACTCAAATTTGCATTTGTACGATTCACAAGCGCAAAAATGTGTGGATATATAATTTGTCCCACGGTTTCATTCATCTATATTTTCCCTTGTTTTATACAAATGTATTTTTATATTGTTTTGTATTTTAGTAATAGTTTATGTGTTTATTATTATTATTATTATTATTATTATTATTATTATTATTATTATTATTATTATACCCATTAGTATTATTATTTTATTTGTAATAAATATACCATCAGAGCTACATGCATGTATAATGACATTTTAAGTATACAATTAAATTCATTAATCGTGAAATAGTTGAAAAAGCATTATCCCATTGAAAAGTTCTGTACATTTGTCCTCTCAACGTATTATTTAGCCTCAATTTTTCTTTTTCCTCTATTTGGATGGTAAATACTAAATATCAGGGGCGGATCTAGCAAAAATAATGAGGTGGCCTAATGATATCAGAATTTTCCTCATATTTATTTAGATTCAAAGTATCTTGTTTTCTGACATTTTGACAAACACTTTGCTGACGGGGCCTTTTTTGAAAAATATCTCACTATATATGATATACAAATAATATTATGAATTCACAATTAAGTAAAATTTTCAATTTTGACATATATATATAATTCTCGAATGTGCTGAGCTTAAGTGGCAGGCTCGCACACTTCAGGGTTCTACTTGTCAAAAAACCATGACTCGTACTTAGGCTTGGGTAGAAATAATTTAGAAAAGGTATTTAATATTTGGTATTTTGCATGGATATTGGTATATTTGGTATTGTCAAACCAATAAATTGGCAAGAATATTTTATTATGCCAGCATTTCGGTTACATTAATCTAGACAAATCTTTTTTCAAATTTATATGATTTTATTATAAGTAAGTGTAATCTTTCCAGTTGTTATATTTGTTCTTTACATAATCTATAAAAATAAGGAACCATTTGGTATGCATATATCCCCTTATATATTAATTCAAAACGTGCTGAGCCTAAGTGGCAGACTCGCATGCTTCGGGATTTTATGTGACAAAATTACATGTTTCGTTATTAGGCTTGGGTAGATTTTAATTTATTTCCATTCCAAAAACAATTAGGTTTTGAATTATTCATAAATATGTTGATTATTTATGGTCATGTTACATATATTAATTGCATTTTAATATCGTTTCTTATTATAACCATTGAATTATAAATGTATTCTAAAAATTAATAACTTTTGTATTTTTTATCAGTTTTACATATATAATATATCAAATTAATCATCTCTTGATAAGCTTCGATTTAACATCTATATTGTATGTATAACAAAATATATCTTTATAACAATAATATTTTTTAATATTAATTAACAAAATAATTTTATTTATCATTTCATATATTCATATTTCAAGTAGTTATATGATATAAGTTATAAAAATTACTATAATATAACATATGTAAGTCGCACAACTAACAAGTGTCATTCTAAAATATATAATAATATGTATTTTTTGTAAACAAGTTAATAAAATCTAAAATATTTTTTCTCATTAATTTTAAAATTTAAGAACAATTTTTTAACAAGCATCCGTGTAATACACTGGTGTTGTACTAGTCACACTTTAAAAAGCTATAAGCACATTAGGGATTGAATTTGCAATTTCTACATAAAAGAATAAATTTACCGTTACCTCAAAAATTAAGAAGAATAGTTTTTACCTCCACCAAAATAAACATAAAGAGATTTTGTTACCTCGCAAGTTGTCTTCTTGAATGATTGAACCAAAAATTGATAAATTCTTTGACTCTTTTCTCTCTTTCTCCTCTCTTCTTTCCCCTCTTCTCTTTATTTATTTATTTATTCATTTTCCCCTGCGTGACCTTTACTTGGCTTGGCCAGACACTCTTAGAGCACCCACAATGCATTGGGTCTCTTACTAAAATATCATATGACACATAAGAAATAGACTTAGTCTATAAAAAAATGTCTCCCAATGCAATTAAAAGTGGACATGGTCTAGCTTATGTGGCAATAAAAAAAAGAGACCAAGTCCACACTTGAGTCTATTTTGGACCCAAGTGCAAATCTAAGCACTCATCATTTATTCTTAATTTAATTTTTCTTTTAATAAAGGAAACATATTAGAGCATTTTTATTGATTGACATGTATTCTAGACCTAGTATTTTATTTTTGCATTGTATAACTTTTGAGTATTTTAACTTGGGTTTGTCCATGTCATTTAGGACTTAAGTCCATTTATATGCCACATATGTAAAATTAGACCCAATACATTGTGGGTGCTCTTAAGTTAATTAATGTAGTTTCAATTTTTTTGTTAAATTAAAAAGCAAGACTCTCTTTATTAAATTTATGTTGGGTTAAATTTATTGTTATATTGGGAGTTTTTTTATATGGGCTCATAGTNTAGGCCCATAATTAAAACTTTTCTTTCATGGATTCATAATTAGTATTATTTTTTATATGGGCAAAGCTTATCTGAGCTAATGGCTATATATCGGGATTTTTTTTTCAGTGTGGGCCTTGGCCAAGGCCCACACTGGTCCTACTATGGATCCGCCCTGCTAAATATTTCTAAACTTGAGTGTGAATTAAACACATATTGAGAAACTGATGCAAGTTCTTCCGTTTTGAATAGATAGATTCATATATAATAATATTTTTTTTCAAAATTGCTCATGTATTTCCCTATTAGAGGTCTTCCAAAAATCTTTATTTTTCTGTTAGAGGTGTTCTAAAAATCTCTTTGATTGAATAACAAGTTCTACTACCGAATAGGGCATATTGACTTTGAAAAGAGAAATATTTAGAGAAGCTATACCTTTTCGACCAATACTTTGTGGAAAATCATTAGATAACAATATCCTCAACTCATCTAGGAGTGTTAAAGAAATAATACTTTGATTTAAGTTATCGTCTCCAATATAAATAGTATGGTTAGTGAGATACTAATATTGTTAGTATAAATAATCTAAATTTGATGAGTTACAATGTACTTTCAGAAATCATAAAGTACGCACAAAAATATTGACGTTAATTTTTTCAACATCACCATAAAAGGATCTTGACAATGTGCAATGACAGCAGAATTATTTATCATACTTTATAACTTGATGGCATTGGCATGAATCATTTAATTATTTCAAAAGTCAATATTGAAAATGCTCTTAATTACAAATTATTACTGTTTAATTAACCGACAATATAATTAATTGATTAAAGCTTACACAGTATGACATTAGTGTTTGCCTACTTTATATGAAATACTATCTTGTTATAATATTGTGTATGAGGAGCATGAGGAGAATAAAATAATATATGTGAATGACTATTTTGCTCCTGATGTAATTGTATTATTACGATTGTGACATCAGAAGTTTCCTATAAATAGGAGCTTCATTTATATAATGAAAAAACAACCTAGAGAAAACATTCTCTATATTCTCTATATTTCTCTCTATTTTATAACACGTTATCAGCACGAGTCTCTGCCCTCTAGAGCTCGATTTATAATATGACGAGAGTATGCTCTACAGTTGGGTCTTATAGACGATCCTCTGTATCAGAAATCAGATTATTACTTTTGTTCTTTACTCAAATCAATTAACTATACCAATTTATTTTGAGACTAGATTTTCGAGTTACCGCATATAGACCCACCAAATTGGACCTCCTCGGATCCAAAATTAATAGATGCAAATCACACCTCGTTTTCTAGCGGGAGGTCTAATTTCTCCCAGATGTGTACCATTTTTAAACTAGTACATGAAGAAAAATGGAAGCCTTGGGGACTTTCAGCTCGGCAACACTCAAAACCTGAAGAAACCCAATTTCATGGTGTGGCAAATGAACAGATGATCATTTTCTACGACGGTAAGGTTGTGGTCTTCGACGACTTCCCGACGGACAAGCCCAAGGAGATCCTGATGTTAGCCGGGAAGTTGAGCAGCGCCGCCCAGAACTGCCTCCCACAGCCCGGTGGAGTCCCCCACCGGTGTTAACCACTTGATTCTGATTTACAAATTGACAGGAAAAACTCACTAGCCAGGTTCCTGCAGAAGAGAAGGGAGAAGTATGAATATTATGGCTCAATTCATTCTCATCTTGATGAGAATAAAACAAATAAGAAATGGGAGTGTGATATTTGACAACTTTGAGTTAATTGTCTTTATTTGATGAAATTACTTAAATAATGCATGTGGTGGCATGACTTCAAATGAATTGTTCAAATGCGTAGTGTATTAATTATCCTCAATTTCATTTATCATTAAAATAAGTTGTGTTTATTTGAAATAAACATATTTCATACTACTCAATTTAATGGTAGCTTCATTTCAAGACCAATATTGATATATTAAATTATATATATTGGTATTATGAAATGTTCTGAAGAGTTATAACATATATAGTGCCTGAAGCATATAGTGTTCACATAAAATTGATTTATTATACTTTGATGATCAACTTATATATTGGATAATTAGCATGAGCAGTTGGATCATATAAGATAATTATTCATCATAAATTTTTCCCAAATGGTGCGTGGATAATCGAACATTTTCCATCTGCGATTTATTATTATGCACAATCTTATATCACCACCAATTCGTACCTTTATAGGCCAATATTACAAACTAGGTATACTATGATTTTTATACTTCGTCGGATTTTTAACTAGATATTTGAGAGTGCTAAATCCATTTGTGAATTCGGACCTTTGTTAAGGAAAATTGAATGATTTACATAATAATTTATAGAAATGATGCGTATACGATACGACTCTAAAAACAGAGGTTAAAAGTCTTTATGTCAAAAGGCATGATACACGTTCTGAATTTAAATATTGTGTGCACTTGAAGTGCATTTATTGCCGCCGAAAGATAATGTGATATGTTTGTGATAAATATGAATTATTGTGATGTTTACCGATATAAATAATGATGGTTTGCATATGAGAGGTTTTGTTCTCGATTGATGAAAATTATTACTAGCTAAATATTTGTGAATCAATATGACAAGGGGTACGATATATGGGCCTAGTACCTCCCAATGTATGTTACTAGATATTATGGATCCACTAGATAGACACATGATTATATGATTCGTAACTTGAAGTTACAAGATGTTTTGAGCAATGAATGTGCATATGACACGTAACCTGAAGTTACGAGATGATGAAAATTAGTGTCATATGAAAAAGCTAGTAATATATCCAACTGATATTATGAATTCTTGAAAGAAAAATAAAAATGTGCACATTACAAGTTCAAAGTTCTCCTATTATATATACATATTGAAATCGAGAACGACGGAGAATATATGAACTTCTTCTTTCAAGAAATTCAATATTGAAAATGCAGATCAGAGATTTGTTAAGACGAGGGGCAGAATAAATGATTGAAATTTATCACACTGGAAGTGTGCAAATAAACTGAATGATATTGATGGAGGTGAAATATGTGAAATATTATGATGGTGGAATAATACGCTGGAAGCGTTGATATTGTGATAATTATGGAAATATTATTATGGTGAATATATGGAATATGCGTTGTACTCCTTTTCCCTTGCCTGAGGTTTTGTCCCATTGAGTTTTCCCAGCAAAGTTTTTAATGAGGCAACAGGGATGGCGTATTCACATGAATAGTGTACTCTTTTTCTTTCATTAGGATTTTGTCCCACTGAGTTTTTCCTAATAAGGTTTTAACGAGACATATTCATGGTATAATGAGGATTACTGGATGATTGATAAAATTCCTCACGATAATAAGAAGATATTGGAGTAGTTGTACTATTTTTCCTTCGATCGAGTTTTTTCCCATTGGGTTTTCTTGACAAGGTTTTAATGAGGCAGCACGTGGATACTCCACTAAAAATGATCTTTTTGAGGGGGAGCAATATTATGCTTTCACAATGCTCAGGTTTTGTCCCACCGGGTTTTCCTGAGGAAGTAATGGATTGATTCTAAAATGATCAGGCTTTGTCCCAGCTGGTTTTACTAACATGTTGAAACAACGATACTTGATGGCCACAAGATAAACTTCAAGATGTTCAGATTATGTTTTGTTCGAATAATGATATTTAGAAAATAGTCATTCAAGGGGGAGTGTTATAATATTGTGCATGAGGAGCCTGAGGAGAATAAAATAATATATGCGAATGACTATTTTGTTCATGATGTAATTGTATTATTACGATTGTGACATCAGAAACTTCATTTATAATAAAAAAACAACTTAAGAAAACATTCTCTATATTCTCTATATTTCTCTCCATTTTATAACATTTTTAACCAGCATAACCCAATAACAACCGGACTCCCCAATTTTCACGTTGCAGTATTTTAATTTTTAATAGACTCCTATTAGTGTGACACGCATTACGAATGGGGCGACCAAAAACACAATCATCCACTTTTACTTTTTTTCTATATTCACAAATCATCTGCAATGTAAAGCTTGACAAAGTCAAACACGTGCAAGCAACAATGATATGTCCTCCCACTATTATTTAAAACAGTAAAAAAAAAAATCAGTCCAACAAGAAATACATATTTATATATAAAATTATTACCCGGCCGGCCCACATTTTTCTTGCATACACCTTCAAAACTATTAAATAAAAACACCCTTTAAATAAAAATTTCTCTATATTATTACCCCAACCCCCAAAATTCAAAGCTATCAACCAAAACCCATGGGCGAGGAAGAGAAAAACGAGCCAATTACCTTCCCGAAGCTCAGATTTCCATTTCTACCCCTATCCTCCGCCGCCACGCATTCGCCGGACCACCACCACCAGCCGCCGCCGCTCGAGACCCAGGCTTCGGTGCCGTTCAAGTGGGAGGAGCAGCCCGGGAAGCCCCGACCCTGCACCGACATCATAACTGTACCCGAACCCGGATCCGGACCCGCCAAGCTCCCGGAGCCCCCTCCTTGCCGGCTAATGCTCCTCGCTGACTCCGGCGGCGGGAGAATTACCAAGATGCCCTCGCCCACCACGGTTCTCGACGGACCGTACGTGTACAGCGTGGTCCGGCCAAGGTTCTCCTCCTTCCGGCTCTTCAGGGAGCCGTTTGACGGCGGCGGCGACAGCCCCCGCGGCTCCGTGGACGGGCTGGTCGGAGACGGTGGGGCCCACAAGAGAAAGGGGTTTCTTGGCCGGGGCTTGAGGTTCAAGGGCGATGGGAGATTGATGGAAAGTGGCAGGGGTAGTTTGGGGTTTTCATCACCGGCCTCGGCTGAGGGGAAGCTGAAGAGAAATGGAAGCTTTACGAGCCTCTCACAACCTGCGTCTCCTCGTCTCTCTGTGAGTTCTTCATATTTATATTTTGTCCTTAAATATTTTGTTGCATTATTGTTATTATTATTATTATTATTATTACAACTTCTTGTTATGTTATTTTTTTTTTTCTAAATTGTTATGTTATTTTAAAAGAATAAAAATATACTCTCTGTTTAGTTTTAACTTTTAAGCGTTACTTTTTTGTTTCTAATTATTTCTCGTTTTAAACTATTTTTCAATTATTATATAGCATAAGAAATTTTTAAAGAATGAAAAAAAGATAATTAAATAAGAAATGTTCAAAAACAGTGAAAAGATAAAAAGAAAGGATAACAACAATAAATGAAATAATGTATATGAGTTATACAAAAATTCTATAAAGCCATCGCATGGTTTTCTTATAGAGCCATTCACCACTTAATGTATTGACACATGTCCAAAGTATATTTTATTGTAGGACACGTGTCAATACACTATTGTCAAAATTGATGTATTATATACTATTTAAAAAATTTAGTTGAAAATAATTTTAAGCACAATCAAAATTTCTAGATTAAGCCACTTTGATCATGGGCGCTATTAATTATTTAATTTTATTATAATCATTATTCCTAAAAAATTATGACTTAGGAAATAAAACTCGGCTTTAAGTCAAAATGAGAACACCTGAGTCCTACATTCCGGTTATAGTGTGTAGACAAACCTCATTTAATAATTACATGCCACGCAGTCTAACAATTATAGATCTATCCACCATACTTTCTGTATAACTCATACTTTGTAACAATATAAATTTTCACGTGAGGCCTATTATGCAATTTGACTCCTCATACATATATTCATACTATGAATGACATATTTTTATTTATATTATTGTTTAGAATATGATATTTTAGATCTGCGTAACAATTTACTGTTGTAACAAAATGCTTACTTATGTGATTAAATACTGCATTTCGATTTATATTAATTTTTAGAGTGACATTTTAAATAAGAGCGTTACTGTTATTCTGTCAATAATGTTGGTATATGATGGTTGTTGTAAGATTTAGAGAATCGGGCAACAAGGTGCGATCTCACGCAGATGAAGCGCATCATAAGATGATGTGTTTAGGTACACCATAGTGATGGGAGAGTAGTCCAATAGATATATAAGTTAAGTCCAATTTTTCTATATAATCAATGTAGGACAACTTGATACTCCAACAATTGTGTCATGTGTGGCTAAAATAAATCCCTAGCCATTAGGGCAGTGCAAGAAAAATAAATACTGGCGGCATAAGAGGTGCATGACTTTAAATTAAAATAATACTATAAGCAATTCTGGAATCAGACCCAGCATATTTGACATAACATTAATTTATCTTTGCAATAGGTCCAAAATTCATTACGGAGTAGGTATAATCTGTGCTCACAGCTTTTAATATGTGTTTGTCAATTTGCATGAAAAGAATAATAAACATTTCAAAGTTTGACAAATTTGACAATTATATGTCCTTGATGTTGGGCATTTTCAACTTTCTTTTTTTTTTTTGCCAAAACGAGGCATTTTCAACTTTCACCACTATGTGACTGACAGCACGTCATCAACAGAACAAAGACAACTTTATTTTTATTTTTCTTTTTTGAAGTAATGCTAAAACTTAATAGCATAGAGTCATGACACAATTTTTTATATTATACATNTTATATACGAAAGGTTGAAGCACGCTGTATCGTGGAAAAGTTCAAAAAGAAAATCAAAGAAAGATGGGCTCCATTTGAAGGTCTAAAAGCTTTATTTGCTGGCCACTAAATTATGTAAAAGCCTATGACATAATTCAGTACTGTCTTGTAGCTCATTTGCGTGAATACTTACTTAAAACGTGCCAAAAATATGGTCCGTGGTTGTTATTTCATGAAAGATGTGTGAATGGAATTCAGGATTGATGCAATTGCATTGTGTATCATACTGTAGTAGTGATAAATGTAAAGTGACAGTTTCCAAGTAGCCTATAATAATATAATTTCAGCTCCTCTTAGCTAGGTCTAACAGTAAGCCAATTATTGTATTGTTTTCTTAACACATGTACACTTTCGAATCAATATGGCATATTATAAGAAATAACATAATCAAATGAGTGACATTTCAATGTATAAATTAAAATTTTAGATTTATTAAATAAATCAAAAATTTATTAAGCAGCAAGTTAAATCAACCCACATAAGTTTTCAATAACCAAAACAGCATTTTGAAATCCGTAGTAGAACGAAAACAACATAGTAATAAATCAACCCACATGAGTTTTCAAGGCATATTGAAATAAGAAAACTACAAACACAGTTAAGTGGCCAACAAACTAAATGCAAAAACACAGTGCATCTTGCATGTTCAATGTCACATACAAACAATACCCTTCAAACAAGGTACAGTACTAAATTTCAGGTTATTTATTTCAAAATCCCGAGCATAAAATGTCTAATTTGCCAAGTCTCAACCCTGTTTCTTCCCTGTCATGCCAGCGACTACCTGCAAAATGAGTTGAATCCAACAGTGTAAAGGAAAAAGACAAATCTTCATGAACTTCAAAAGAATAACGCAAAAAATGGAAAAAAAAAAATAAATAAAGAAAAGAAATAGAAAAAAGACAAGGTCATGAGGAGCATCTGATATTGGATAACTATTATCTTACCAAACATCTTCACATTTAAAGCTATCCCAAGACAAACACCATGTGCATCAATGCAAATGTTCATTTAAAGATCGAAGCCAATGAATGACTAGACAGGTAATATGTGTGTGTGTGTGTGTGTGTGTGTGTGTGTGTGTTGCAAAGCTGTGAAGTGTCTAAGTGGAAGACTCCATACATCATTGAATGAGGGAGATGAGATTTCCTATTCCAAAATCATGTTCCAATTCATGTTTCATTCCATTGGAGGAATGACACGTGTCCAATCCAAGTATAAGAAATACAACAACGTGAAAATTAGGAGTGTTATGTAATAGTATGAAACAACAATTACGTAGAAATTTACACAACGCATCTTGGGATTGTGGAAGGTTGATTCCACCGTGAGCACCATGAATTGCATTGGACACGTGTCAATTATCCAATGGAATGAAACAGGAATTGGAACACATGATTTTGAAACAGGAAATTTGTTCCCTCTATGAGGACCCATAACTTACCACACTTTATCATAGCAAATATAAAAAAAAAAAAAGAAAAAACGAAAAACCTGATCATCCTTTCTACTGAAAAAGCAAGAAAGAACTCATCATCCATGACGAACAAGATTGCGTAGGAATTTAGACAGTGGACTTTAGAGATAACACCCAATCACATCGATATATATGAGACATGTTGGAAATCAAGCTTCCTAGTGCATGAAATTTAGCTCCCACCTTGCATGTAGCAATATAATATACCCACTACTACTACTACTACTACTACTACTACACATACACACACTCACCAGCACATACATATATAATTATATAAGCTTGATCTATAAGAAATAAATAAAACGTTAGTGGCAAGGAAGGTCGCGCGTCTCGTTGCCTGTTATGAATAGAAGCAGGCGTACTACTTCTCAACCTACCGACAGCAGCCTTATAAGCAGATTTTACTGCAGCTAGACAGTATATTGGCACAATCAAAATATGGTCAATCTATAGATGACCATGCCATTTATCACATTTACCAATAAACTACTCAGGCCAAGAAAAATAATCCGATACATGAATATGTTTCATGAGGATACAACGTATGCCCATTCATTTGGTGCACAACACCACCACCCCTCTCCATCTTAACGAGGCCAAATATTTTCAAAAGGACAAATATGTGAAACAAAAGCATCACTAGAAAGTGTACACATAGGTTAACACAGTAATACAAACATTCATCTACATAACAAGAAGTAAGAAGTAACGGGGAATCAAACGAAGTATCCTTTGAAGAAAAAAAAGCAATTTCTCGTTAAAATTTGAAGGCACTCAACATAACACTTACATCGCCTAAAGCTGGTGGAGGTACTTGCTTTGATGATTCAAATGAATCCAGTATAGGCCTTACTACAGCGGGAAGGAACAGTCCTACAAATGCCACAGTTCCACTTGTCTTAAGAACATGATATTGGCAAACATATAAAAACAAACAGATTGTAATTAGCATCAAAGGACGGCTTTTGGGCACACAAAATGCTTCCGCCTACAAAAACATCATCAGTTCACAAATCTTAATGAAAATTCCCAACTCTTCAGGGTCATCATTATCATTTACAGAAAAAGGAAATAAATACTAACAAACAATACCAGAAGCTTCCGAAATTTCCCTTCTTCATTCACCTCACTCGAAATTAGGGCAAAATTATGCGACCTGGTCAACTAATTTTAACTCCGAAAGAAATGATTTTTAGCACTTAATCAAATGCAAAATCCCAAATTCAAATTTTCCTGCATCTGATTTAAGAAGCAAAGACGACTTAACAAAATGTTCACATCCACAAGAAATCAAATCAAGGAACGGAAGTACTGACCAACGCCGGCGATGAGGCAAGAAGCGGCGACTACAGGCTCTTGCGCTACAAGCATTCTCAGCTTTTCCATCATCGGCATCTTTTCCAACTGCTAATTTTGTGCTATTTTTCCTTTTCTGTAAATTGCTATTTTTCTCAAAGTGTGGCTCTGTCTGGAAGCGAGCTTCAAAGTTCGTTAAGGAAGAGGATGGCTTTCGGGTCCCTGGATCTTGACTGGAGATTAGTTCTGGGCTCCCTAGTGGTGGATTATTTAAATGGGCTAGTAGATCACAGGCCCAATAAGACCAGTTTTTCAGAAAAAACAAAAATAAAACAAAAAAAAATGAAGTTTTTTGTTAGAGCCGTTTGTATATGCGATTCAAACCTAGTGCAAACACAATTTATTTGGCTCGTTAAAGCTTGAGCTCGGTTTGTTCGTTTACTTAAATGAGTTGAGCTAAAACGGCTAATTGAGCTCATTTATTAAACAAGAAGAGTAGATCTTGATCACGAACCACTTGTATTTTTTTATGGTTTTTGAATGAAATAGTCGAGATAAACTTGTTCACGGATTAATATTTCATATTTGAAAACTCGTCTAAGGTTTTCGATTTATTAAATGAGTCAAGTCGAGCTCGAACTGTTTGTTAGACGGGCACGTGCATGAGTTACTCGGCTCGGCTTGAATAACGCCCCAACAAAATGGGTAGTAGCACATGAGTGTGTGAGTGAGAGAGAGATTAGAACACTATACACACAAATATCAAAAATATTATTTATACAAACTTCTTTTTTTTTTNCAATTTATACAAACTTCAAAATATAGTTGCTCTAGACATCTATATCTATATAAGAATTACCATTTTTAAAAAATAGTAAGTCAAATTTCGGTCAACATTATTACCTACTATTCTTAGTAACTTTTTTGTTTTTTTATTTTTCAAAAATTTCCAGCAGCATTAAATTATGCCTAAATTGGTGGGTTTGGTTTCATTAAGTTTTAAAAATTTCAATCATTTGAATATAACTTTAAATACAAAATCCCTTTTATTTGATTTTAAAAATTTGATTGTGAGATTCCAAACAATCCGAAAATTTTGTCTTTGAAAATTTGAGTTGTCTCATTTTGGTTGTCGGGCTTAATTCAAAATCTCTTCCTAATATAAAGGATTTTGTTCAAATTGAATTCCAAAAAAATCTAATCACATGCTTTTATTCTTGGACGGATAAATAAAATCATTCCATAGATGAAGGATATTAGGCCACTTTAAATTAACAAATATCTTGGAAATTACCAAATCATAATAAATTTAGATTTAATTGGTTTTAATTTGTACGAAATTCATAATGGTTTAAGAATTTCAAATCAATTGAAATTCATCTCTTTAATTTTTTCCTCAAGTTCAAATTTTACAATAAGTAAGTCAAAATTCAAATTTATTGTTTCAAAAATCTTTATATATATATATATATTATACATATATTATAAGAATAACCATTAACTCAAAATAGTATACATATATATATATATGCATATATTATAAAAATAACCATTAACTCAAAATAGTAGCAAAAAGATAGGTCAAAATTTAATGCAACCCATAAATAATAAGTTTTATTATTTTTTTTAATTTTTTTCTTTAAAAAATCATACAACATTAAATGCTACCTTAAATTTCGAGCTTTAGTTTATTTTAGTATTTAAAAAATTCGGCTAAGATAAATTAAGTGTGCATGTTTTTATTTTTATTTTGTTTTCTTAGAAACAACGAACAACATTAAAATCACGGTCTCTATATTTATAAAATCTCAATTCAAAATATAACAAAAGTTTTAGAATCTCGGTCTTTATATTTGTGTCTTTCAAAAAAAAAATATTGAATGCTAAAATATTCTTTAAATTTCATAATCTATCAATTAATTTTAATTTCTTAATAATTACTATGTTTATTTTTTATTACTACGCATAACGTAAAAATAATTAATTCATCATTAGATATATAATTTATAATCTTAATATACTATCATTTGGTTTAGACATTTATTATATGAATCATAAAATATTTTTATTTTATAAAATTAAATATATTTAAAGAAAATAAGGAAATTTATTTGGATCAATCGGGTTATTGAACTAGGGTACTATCCAGGTTGGTTGAATTACTTTTAGATGATATTTAAAATAGTAAAAAAAAACTTGACACAATTTGGATGGTCACAGGTAACTAAGTTATGTATCAGTTTGACCATACCAAATCGATTATTGAACCTAAATATAAATTTTAATATTGAAAACACTTTATTACGTGAATGTAATGTAGTCCAATTGTCCAAACTTCAAATAATCATACTAACAATACTTTTATGACAACATGTTTAATGATTAATGAATATTTATATATCATTTAATTAATATTTATGTGAATAAAATAATATTTTATTATAATTTTTACTAATGTACAGTAAATATGGTTTTCAGAATCGAACTGTCATCGAAACGATTAAGTTATTCTATTAAATCATTTGTGGTTTGTTCAGATTTTAATTTATAAATAATTTAATATCTATATATATACATTTATATATATAGAGTACTTTTTGTAATAAATTTAAGTAAAATGTGTTACTTAAATATCTAAAAAATTTATAAATTCAAATGTTTAAACTAATTGATAAACAATTTATAAATCTCTATTTTATTTAAATATGTAATTTTATTTAAAATAATTTTGAATGTAACAAAATTTATTTTGAAAATCGTATCGGTCCTACCAGTCCAACCGACTGGTGTTGACGGATTCGATAGAAAATATTTTATTCAAGCGAACTAAAATGGTTATAAACCTATTCTCGGTCCATCCAGTCGGATTGTGTCCAACCTGTTAAAAACAATGGGTAAATCGTAATTAATGATATTTATATATTTAATTTGTAATATAAAATCGTAAAAATATTTTTCCGTGCATCGCACGGGNATAATTTACAGTTTTGCACATCCTTGTATATATACACACATATATAGAGCAGAGACAACTCAAACAAACACTCCTACATATACACACATATATGAGCCTAAAATTTCACAAAAACACACACATTCACCAATCAGCATGTGGGCAGCATCCAACCAATCGTCCACCCGAGCAACAACCCAGCACCGACGAGTCCCAATCCTAAAGCAAAAACAATAGCATATTTTCCAGCATCCAACACATCCCGGGCCTTCTTGGCCCGTTTCCTGTTCGAACACTTGAGCCACCTGCTTTTCCGCATTTTTCCATTTCCTGAGGTCCCACAATTAGGCGATGTTACTGCAGATACAGAGGATCCAGACTCATCTTTGCTGTTCTTGAATTGAAAATACGTATTCTCCAACTGCAGAAAGTGGACCCACTGTTTGTAGGCGAATATCTGGGATGCCTGTCTTAGTACGAGCCTGACAACATGCTCCTTCTCAGAACACGCTCGTTTCATTACCTCCTCAGCCTCTCTGGCTCGTGTCTGAGAATGACGTAATGCTTCTAGAAGCTGAGCTCTGCTTGTGTCACTCTCACTTTCGCCCGTTTTCTTGTAGATTGGGCTGTTCCTGAGATTATTATAAGACATTGATGACTCACAATACATTAGATCTCAACAGATACAAAAATGCAAGTGCAGGCATGTAATAATATTTGCACCTCCATACATCAATCATAAAACCAATAATGTTAGCTGAAGTCCTGAAAGCATGTTTTTTACACAAAATCATACATGACTATACGAAATGGCACTAAAAACAACTGAATGTACAAAATAGAAGCAATATATTTATATATATATTACCTTGATATCTTGTCGACACCTAACACTAACCGAACATCAGCTGATTTCCTAAGTTTCTGACAAGAATACCCTGCAAGCGAACATCCTTGTCTAGAATCACGACTACAAACATGACTGTGATGCTCGATGCCAGCCTTCTGAACTCGTAACAACGTTGAGTTCTCATCACAACTAAAACAACTACTCATACCAATACGTGCACTTTGAGGCCTCGGGAGGTCACAGTTATCTAAAACGTCGTGCGAACTTTGCGCTACCAACAAAGCCAACTCTTCAGTATCCGCCGTTCGCCACCAAGGCGCATTTTTCTCCGAATCGAAACAAACGTCATCTGAATTTTTCGAAAATTCACAACTACCAACATTCGAGTCTTCTATTTTTTCAGAACCTTCTTTAAGCAATTTGAGATCTTGACTTTCCAAGGGAGTTGTTAACTGTTCGCCTGCCATGACTTGTCGGTACCCATAATTCGGCTGTGTTTGTAGCCACCATCTTGAGGTTGGGGATAAATTGGAAGTAGTAGGATTTAGGTTGAAAGGGAGAAAGAAAGTGGTGAGAATATCTTCTTGGGTGTTGTCTGGATTTGGAGGTTCGGTTTCGGGGTGTTTAACTGAAGGGGTTACTGAGGGACAGCAAGCTAACTTAGGGGCTCGTTTGGCGTCTTCTTGGACTAAGCATCGGTTGGCAGTTCTCTGCCAAGCGGCCCTAGCTTCCGCGAATGCCATTATTCATCCATTTTTGTTTTTTAACAGGAAATCCTCTGAAAAATAAGATTCCAATTTCCAAATAACATGTGAAAAATGATGCCGATTTTTTTTAAATTGAATATGAATTCATGACCAGCACAACCAAATTAAACCAAAAGGCTAATGATGTAGAGATACAGTTAAAAACAATAGAGGGCTGACAGTACTTATTAATCAACAATCAATCACATGAATATGCTAATTTTCCATAGTTAAGCAACTCCTACAATCCATACACAATCAGCAGAAGTTCATAATCTGAAAACCAATCAAACGGCAACAGAAGAATAACAAGAATAACTCAAGATTCGACACTACACACAACTGCAGTGCTGTCCACTATTTTCACCGTTAGATCAAGGCACAAATACCAACATGGATGTGTACGTTGATCATACGGTGAAAAATCTTTGATTTCACTGTAGTTGTATGATCTTGTAAGGATCAGCCAGCTGCCAAATGAGTATAAATCTAAATCAAGAAATAGAAAGGGACACAGCAGCCCCACTGAAATTCTCACACGCAAACCCATACAACACACCAATTAATCAAATTACCCATTAACACAAAAGCTCTGCGATAATTTCGTGTTCTTTAAAGTTAAAAAATTCATATAAAAAAGAGACCAATTATCAAACTCAAGTAGCTATTAGAACCTGGAAAACTTTGAACGCCAGTGGATAAAGGAGACGGAGATGCGCAAATGGCTTTGGATCCAAGAGAAATCCAGTCGGCTGAGCTCCGAAATTCCTTGTTCTTCTGCCTGAGAGAAGGAGATGGCTTTAGGATTTGCTTTTTTCTTTTTCTGTTATAAATTCGCTGTTGTCGGTTAATTTTTTGCCTTTGTACGACAATCGAATATACTTCTCTCTTACACTGTTTACCATCCTCCTCTTTTTGGATAAATATTTTTCAAAAAGAATAAAAAACTAAAAATAGAATTTAGAAATAGAAACAAACTAAAGAAGACATAAGCATTGATTGTTTCATTATTGTACAACAATTTTTATATTTTCGCACAATTATTATGCTGCATCATACAATAATTTTTTTCTACGAATCTATGGCCGTTCAGTATATATTTTTCTCGTAATACTTTTGAAATGCTAGGAAATGAAAAGAAAAAGGTAAATAGTATATTTGGTCTGATCCTAAAATGTTGCCAGGCAAAAAATTGGACTGTTCATATTGGATATTTTATTGGGATAGATATAAAAACATTCATACTCTTCCAATGAAAGTGACTCATCAGCATCATAATCCAACAAGCATCACACGCAATTAAGCCAAAGTGGGATTAATTTCTGTAGTGGACCATTCACTAATTGTGCAATCTAATTAATGGTCTTTACTCCACCCATAATATCAATTAATCCATTTAATTCCGGTTTTAAAATATCTCTTAGACTTTCAACATAACTAGTAGTTCATCATTTACATATACACATATATAAGTAAACTATTATAAATTATTATCTATGCATATTCTTGTACTTCAAAAGTTTCGGGCCGACCCACTACATCAAGGGACGCATCGTTCATTGGAAAATTGAGTTCATGTCAATTTAGGCCCAAAACGTAAAAGAGGAGCCCAAGAGCTCATATGACCACTCATGTACCGATCTCTCTATAGCCTGAGCGTCGATCTGTTGGCTAGCACCTTTTCGCCGACCTCTCTGCAAAGTGTGAACAAGATCCAGTAAAATAACCGTCCAATCGGTTCCATCCTCAAAAACCAAATTTTTGCATAGCTACACGTGCACTCACCTAGCCCTTTAATTAATTGGCACACGACCATCATTATTTTCTCACTTCAGAAAGGGACACGAATACGAACAACACTAAAGGCTAATTTTTCAAGTACATAAATCACTTATACATCGACCTATAAATTTTCTGTAATGACAATCTCTCCACTGTTTTTGACAATCTCTCATAGTTATCATATTTTCATATTTTCGTTCTTAATCTTCAGTTTTACGCAATTAATTAGTTTGGTAACAACCTGTTATCAACAAATTGGCGCTAGAGATAGGGCCGAATCAAGAGTTTTGGTGAATCTTTTTGTACTTATCTTGGTGAATTCACGTATTCATACCAACTATCTCATCCACAAGTAATCAACCAAAATAACGAGGGAAACTCTCACCCTTAGCAATATGTTACTCAAATTTTCTAAAATCCTGCTTCTGTCAAAGGTCTCAATGAACTTTTTGCTTAAATGCCTCCGCAACAATCCTCCAATAATCTACTTTAAAATCCTTCCCAGAAATATCCTATTCAAATAAATGTTTCATTATCCCAAGAAGGCCACTCTCACGAGCACCATGAGTCTCGTGATAGGGGTAAAGAGAAGCAGAAGATTGATTGTCATAGAGACCGCGAAAGCATGGGCGAACGCCAAGCCCACTCGGGAGCCAACATGAGCTCAAATGCCAGATCGATGTTCAGCTGGTTGGGCAACAAACGAGACGATCTCCGCCAGCAAATCACCAAAAGAACCCTCAGAAAAGAAGTTAAGGAGATCGCCCCATGAAAAAGCTGATAGCTGAGCTTGAGGCCCGAAAAACTTTAGAGACGATAGATCGACTTATCTCTAATCCTCAGTCATCCCCAAAAGTCGTGTCAACAAATCCCACTTCACCGCTCTCACTTCATATTCTAAATGAGGTGTTCCCCGTCAAAATCAAAGTTCCCCAAATTGGAATTTGTACAACAGTGATACCGATCATGATTCTTATTTGGGACAATATACACCATGGATGGATCTCCACGGGACCAGTGACGCTCTCTGATGTCGGACCTTTTCTTTAACTTTGGGGCACAATCCCCAACGGTGGTACCACTCACTGCCCATGAGGTAGATTCATAACTGGGAGCAGTTGCGATCGCAAACATTGTCCAACAACCTGAAGAAAGATTGAAGGATTACATTCAATGCTCGAGTCCACAATATGGAGTCTTGTCATCCTGATACTTTGTTGGTCTCAGCGTATGTCGGTCTCTGACCCAGTTCAATGTTCAGGTGGTCGTTTTGCTAAAATAAGTCGACCACCTACCAAGAATTTTTAGCCCATGCCCAACAACATAACATTGCAGAGGAGTTGATGTCTCTGCCGGTGTTTGGAGTTCCTCATAGAGATCCCTCTAAGTCCAAAGATGCTCAATCCCTCAGAGTCCCAGAAGATAAAGAATCTCGGCTGGCCCACATCAAGGCTGCCCGGGAATGACAAGAGGAGGCGGCGGCCAGTTATAAAGGTGTTTATTCCATTGAGGCCGACGCCATATTTGAAGAAACAAAATACAAGGGCATTCTGCCCGATCCCAAGCCAATCATCAGAGATGAGGCAGCCCTTGATAAATCGAAATATTGTGTCTACCACAAGTGTCACGGATACAATATCGATCAATGTCGAAACCTTAAGTCGACTTTATTGAAGGCGATCCACCACCCTCAACTAGATCATTTCATTCGCCCACAAGTCGATCACAAAAGAAGGTGAGATGGTTATCTACCATCGAACTACAACGTGTCGATTACTGCCAAATAAGATCAAATAATTAACTTGTACCCATGCCTTTAACCGAAAGATAAGAAGGTGCTTGGATATTAATTATTTTAGTTTTGTTTGGATTTTTTTTATTTGGTATAGTTAATTTTGGAATTTATATTAAAATAATATTTAAAAATAAAATAATTATAGTTGATTTGATCTAAAAGTATGAGAGTGATGATTTGAAGTGATAGTTAGTTAAAATTATGTGAGTAGATGAATAGTGAATTGAAGGTGATGTAATGTGTAATAATGATTTATTGATATCATTTAATCATATTGATAATATCTATTACGATATAATAGCAATAAGAAAAAAAATACAAAAATAGCATTACAATTTCCCACTCAAATTTTTACTTTTTACTAATAATGGAAATATTTTTTAAAAATTTTTGGATTCTCCCGCCCATCACATGCTTTCAAATTCGAAATTCATTCCACCAAATCACTATATATCCAGTCAAAATCCTAAACCTATATATCTGGTCAAAGCCATAAATTTGTTATATATGTTTGAAGATTTTTGTATTTTAAAAAATAGAAAATGAAATATATATTTTACATATTTTATATATATCAGGTCAAAGAATACTACATTGAAAAGCATGCTATATAATAATTGATTCAACAAAATATTTCAAAATATTATTTTTTTTTTTAAATGATGATTTTCAAATTAAATAAATTCCTTTTACATATACAATAGATAAAACAAATTTACCTTTTAAGAATGCTATCTATTGTTAACAATCTAATCTCTTTATTTTTCTAACAACTTACTTAAATAATTTCAAAATATTAAAATTCTTAATCATCAAAATATTTTTTTTAAATTATGATTTTCAAATTAAAGAAATTCTTATTACATGTACAGTAAATAAAAAAAAAAAATTGAGAAAAAAAAAGGTTTTACACTATCTCTCAATATATTTTCCTTATTTATCATATCAACTTAATTTATCTCAACATCTTATTTTCGAAAATATTTGTCAATCAATTTATATAATATAAAAAAATTCCAAAAACTTGAGGATCTATTAAGAATTCGATCTGAATATTTATCTTACAACTTACTTAACAAACCACACATTTTTCCAATAATAAAAATCCTAATCATCGATCACTACGAATTTGTCAATCACTTGAAGCTTTAATAATATCTTCATAGATCACTACGAATTCTAAAAACCAATTGATTTGGTTTAGTTCGTGTATTTATATATTCCTCATGTATAAACATTTATTAATATATAAATGTTTTTTAAATTTAAATATTAGTCTCTATGTGACAATGATTTGATTTTGCTTTTAAGGTCGCATTATTTTTCAAGTAAATATTAAATTAATCGATTACTATATAATAGAGAGAGAGAGAGAGAGAGAGAGAGAGAGAGAGATTTACTTGA